ATAATTGATGAAAAATAATTGATTATGGTTTCCAGCAAAATTTGGTAGAGAGATGTTGGAAGTTAAATATAGGTAGCTAGACAAGAAGCTAATGTTTAGGATATTTAAAATAGTAGTTTCAAGAAGTCTTTAATACATAGGACAAGATAGAGACACAATGCATCAGTGTGTAGTGGTGTCAGAAAAAAAGGACTTAGTTTGGCCAGATAGTTGAAAAAATTACAAGGCAGGCAGAATCAAATATCCATTAAAAAAACCTGAAGTGTTATTGGCAGAATTGCACCAAAAAGTATATTTGAAGATCTGTGCAAACATATGTTTATTATCTAATTCCAAAAACTTCAAATCCCAATAGATAGTTGGAATGTTCTTGTTAAAAGAAAAAGTGACTCTACTAAATCCAATGAAAGAAGATCTTATAAAAATAAAAACAAAGAAAAATACAACGAATTGCAGAAAACAATTAGAAGAAAAATTCAGCTGGCAAAAGAAAAGTGGTTTGCAAAGAGATGTAAGGAAATAAAAGAGACAGAACGTATGCATGATAATTTCAATTTACACAAAAAATGAAAGAAGCAGCAGGCCTCTACAAAAAGAAAAACAACAACTTAGTTGACAAAGAAGGGAAAATTATCTTAGATGAGGACAAAAAACTAAAAAGATGGAAGGAATATATTGAAGAACTTTTTGACGACATTAGGGATGATATACATATGGGAAGTATAACAACTGGACCAAACATCACTATGGAGGAGGTTGAACATGCAATAAAAATAGCAAAAACAAGAAAAGCCACAGGACCTGATGACATGCCAGTAGAAATTTTAAAATTGCTGGAAAACAATGGGAAGAATTTTTTACTGCAACTCTTCAGTCGAATATATGAAACAGGAAAGATACCAAATGATTGGCTAAAATCAACCTTTGTGACAATCCCCCCAAAAATAAATGCAAAGAAGTGTACCAAATACAGAACAATAAGCTTAATGAGTCATGCCCTGAAAATATTCCTGAGAATAATTCACACAAGAATATACAACAAAATTGAGCGTCTAGGTAACACACAATTTGGTTTCAGAAACAATCTTGGTATATGAGATGCGCTATTCAGCATTCAAGTTCTTGTACAGCATTGTAGAGATGTCAATCACAATGTTTACATGTGCTTCATTGATTTTGAAAAAGCATTTGATAAAATAAGATATAGCAAACTATTAGAAATCCTGAAACAAGGGGGACTAAATGACAAAGACATCCAAATAATAAAGAATCTATATTGGCATCAAGTAACAAATGTGAGACTAGGTCAAAAATATTCAGCTGATGCAGAAATATGAAGAGGGTTCAGACAAGGATGTATTCTGTCTCCACTGTTGTTCAATATCTACTCTGAGTCAATCTTCAATGAGGCACTGGAGAACATCGATGCTGGCATCAAAGTAAACGGTGTTTGGATCAACAATTTAAGATATGCTGATGATATAGTTCTGCTTGCCAGTAAGCATGAAGACCTTCAACTCCTCATCAACAGAGTCACAGAAATATCTGAAAAATATGGCTTGAAACTTAACACCTCAAAAAACAAGATCTTGGTCGTCAGCAAACAACCCGTTAATTTACCACCAATAAATTCGGAAGGAATACCATTAGAAAAAATTTAAAGGATCACGCACCTCGGTTCTAATTTACATGAAAGCTGGGACATGACCACTGAAGTAAAGACAAGGATAGAGAAAGCTCGAACAGCATTCTTCAAAATGAAAAAGGTCTTCTGCAGTCACGACATAAGCCTAAGATTGAAAATCAGGCTTGTCAGATGTTATATTTTTTCTATCCTACTCTATGGAGTAGACAGTTGGTCTCTGACAGAAGGCCACTTGACTAGAAGCATTTGAAATGTGGATTTACAGGCGGCTGTTACATATAAGCTGGGTTGACAAGATCAGAAATGAGGAGGTGATAAGCAACCTGGGAAAGCCAAGGGAAATCATCAAAACAATTAAAAAACGAAAGTTAGAATATTTCGGACATGTGATGCGACACCCAGAAAAATACGGCACACTCCATTTAATCCTCCAAGGAAAGATTGAAGGCAAACGAGGTCCAGGCAGAAGGAGAACATCATAGCTTCAAAATCTAAGAGACTGGTTTGGACAAAACTCAGCAGCATTTTTTCGTGCGGCTGCTGATAAAAACAGGATCGCCAACATGATTGCCAACGTCCGATAACGGATATGGCACAAGAAGAAGAAGAAGTAAATCCAATGATTAGATCAGGAGTCTGATGAAAAAATAAGAACTAATGAGAATACTACTATACATTAATATGAAATCTATCAAAAACATCCATCTCCACCTATCCAACCTCCATAATTCTGAGATGGAGCAACAAATGTGGAAAACACATAAAATGAGATAAATATCAGTAACTTTAGCATCCACACACTGTCTGAAAAAAATATATATTATTGGCCCTAAAATAAGCATCTTCTATTCGTAGAATTAAAAGGAGGTGATTCTGCTTTCTCTTCTGTATTTTCACATACCCATAAAATATATCCCAGGAATTCTCCAGAAGATAATACTGAAGGCCACATTTTGAGAGGAAACGGGCAAATATAAGGAGTAATACATAGCTCCATAGCTTAAGCAGATTTCCCCACACATGGACAGCATTTCTATCTGTAATAAATGACTTCACTTTTGAATAGTCACAAGACTGACCAATCTTTGTTCAGCTACACAGGAACACTGGCTACAGTCCTATTACATTCAATAACTGTGTAAGTGGATAGCTGCCCAGAAAGTCTAAAAGCTTCATTGAACTTCTAAAGGAGGGAACATTCTCCCCAAATGAAAGAGTGTTAAAAACAAGTTAAAGGGGGGGGGGGATGAGAAGGATAAAGATTATTCAAGATTATTTAAAGCCAAAATAATAGAGATTTAGAGAAAGCAAATAAGGAATCTACAGGTAGGGAAATGGTTGAACAAAAGGTACATGAGGTAATGAGCAACATCCAATAAGGTATAAATATCACAAAACAAACATATTCCAATATATCATATTAATATGATGAGATAC